CACAACAAAGTTTCATAACTTTAATGCCAAAGGCTTGTTGATTAAATTTACGTATTCATACGTAATTCATCAGTTTATCATCAGTAATAAATCTCAAATTACACTGAAATACCATTAGGGATACTACACCATTAGATTTCAAATAATAAACACTTACTCCTAGAAAATAAGATGAATTCGATAAAAATAGACATTGCCTAGGGTCTTAAATTATATGTATTCATTAAGAATCGGCATTCGAAACATTTGAAAATTATTTTCTACATCATCAGTACAGAAAATCAGCATTTGATATGCTAACAATGGTAAATCGTATCATTACAATAGAAAAAATGAGACACGAAAAATCAGAGTTTTTTCATAATCTTTGCCATTAATTTTTAGGCTCATATAATATTAATTATCCCAATAGTTAAAAATAGTTCAAATCATTCAAATCTGATAAACGTTTTGGGGGATTACAGGTATATTACAGAAAAAGTTTTAAGCATTTTTAGGTTCGGGATTAAGATATTAATTAAGAAATTTTTTACAGGATCCTTACAAAACGACTTTTTTATTGTTTTTGTTTTATATCTTTTTCATTTTTACTTCCTTGTACGAAGTAAAAAGGAAGTAAATAAATACGTATATAAATATATTTATATATATATCCACTCTGTTACCCGGCTCAGTGATCTCAGTTTCTTTACTCTTATATGTTTGTAAATTGTACATTTTTTGCTTTAAAAATGATTGAATTATGTTCTTCTTATCTTCCGGTTAAGGTTTTTATGCGTTTAGTAAATCTGTATGCAATATTTTTAGAATTATCAATAATTTTAATTTGTTTATGTGCCACTAAGCCTAATAATGTTTTTGATGGCGGCCATTGCTCTTGTTTACATTTGAAACAGCAGGATAATTCTAAATCGTCTGTGAAAAACTGTTTCTTTTCTGTTTTGTTTGCTTAATTTCTTTCATACATCGTTTTAGCTTTATTATAGTATTTGAATAGAACATGTGGCAACGATAATTCTTCAAATGATATAAATTTTGTGCATTCAGAGTGTCGTTATAGTAAACAAATATAGTGAATTTTAGATAGTGCATTTATTCTATTGTGGTTTATGCGCTGTCGGCGAAGTAGATTTAATTCAATCCAATAAGTTTAAATGAAATGCAAGAAAAAATGCGTATAATTTAATATTCCGTACAAGGAAGTCATGTGGTGTACACATCAGATTTTTTTTAAAAATGAAGCACGTTACCAAAGTTATAAACATTTCAGTCTACTTCATGTATTTTTCCATCTGGACAAACCATAAAATTACGGTTCAAAATTCAGAAACTTTAAACCAGGTAATCTTTTTGAAACACCCTGTGTGTATGTATAGAGAAAAATTAGGAAAATATTAATCTAAGGCAGTAATCGTAACGACATGTTATCACTGGAACCATTTTTAAAAACCTCTATACGCTTATCAGATTTTCTTTCGGTAAACCTTTTTCAATTTCTCATTCTGAATCTATTAATGTTTGCATATTTGTCTCCATACGTGATTGTTAAAATAAATTAAATAAATAAATTCGGATATGAAAATGGAATTTAATTTATATATCATCATATCCCGTAGATAGTTTCACTTGTTGAAAAACGTCATAAGCGAAGCACAGCCTGAGAATGATCTTCGTTGCTTTCTGTGACGAGATTCGTTAAGCGGATTGTATCGGTTGTTTTTTCTGAACGTGTTTAATCGATTAATCAGGAAGGCTCAGGAAATCGACCGAATGCATTTCCTTTTTTTTATTCTCGACTAGAAGGTGTCTAAACTAGCACGACAGGATCGAATGATGTTTCCCTCCAAACAAAAAGGAAATTACGTAGAAAGGGAAATGGAATTCTTGCTTTCAGTTGCCAGATTCGAATTCCGGAAGTTCGCATTTTCTTACACATTTGTATTCTGTTTGTTTTTCAGGTTCAGAGTTTCTTTCGTGGCTGGCTCTGCAGAAGAAGGTGGAAGCAAATTGTTGCAGAATATATTAGTTCACCACATGCAGAAAGCATGCGAAAAAGGAACAGGTAAGGAAACCAAAAAATATTACATAGTATTACATATAATATGATTGAATATTTTCCTGTTTTTCTGATTAAAACTAAATATAAATTCTCAAGTGTAGTGCTTGTTTCTTAAAACTTTACGACGTTTCAAACAATGTTATATTTACATATATAATACGAAAGAAACGTTTTCTTTTTTATGATACTACTTTACTAAATTTCATTGTATTTCCTAACTTTTACAATGAAGAGGGAAAACACCACATTTACTCAGAATAGTTTACCTTGCAGGAAAATGCTGTGAAATTGTAATAACTTAGATACCTAAATAAATTTTATTTAACAATTCTTCCGTAATTTCTTACATAATCTTCAAGAACTGCATTGAGTTGCAGTTAGAATATTTTTTCAGTAATTTCTATTTCATTGCTATCACTTAGCAAAACATAACGTTTTCATGGGAGAAGCTCTGTCATATTTTAACATTTTGGAATGTCTACATCGATCTTAAAGACAACTCCTGCAATGATATTTTTGGTACTACATGTTCATATCTGAGTTAAAGAATTTATTAAATTTAACTACATTCTATACCCCCCAAAAAAAGCAAGAAACTCCAAGGAATTTATAGGATTTGCGCTCACCACGCCTGTTGCCCTGATCACCCCTCAGATGTGCACCCCGGCAACATCGTATGCTATGTCATTGTTCAACCTGATTCTCAATGGTTGAACTAGAATTGCCTACATTGATGAGTTCCCCTTCAAACTGAACCTCGATGACCAGAAAAGACATCTCTGAAACAGGTCCAGGACATTAGTATGAGATAATGCCATGCCCGCCATGCAACCCGATAGCAATTACTTTTATACTGGACCCTTTGCATTGTTTTGCGTTACCACTCTTAAAAACACGGTAGTACGTCGACTATATTTTACACCTCATTATGTTGTTTTTTCTTTCGAGACAATCCAGATATACATTTCAGAAGGTTAACGTCCAGCCGCATATACGATATTCAGACTCATTATTTGCAGAGACAATAATGAAGATTGTAAATACGAACAAAGATAGAGTTGGAATTCGGCACTGAGACTCAGATTTTGGACTTTGTATGTTTGTTTTCCTCATATTTTTTTTGGCCAGTCCCTTTTTTTGATATACAGCCGGCTTGTGCCGGATAGGAGGATCGGGGCTGTGCCCTGATAATAATAAAAATAATACGATATTCAGTTCTACTGATTGTCTCCGAACTTGTCAAGCGCTTCCAAAGTCAGCTAGATCTCCAGTCAATAGAGCCCGTTTGATAAGCAAGTGCCTGCAATCGTCCCAGAATGACGCCAAAAAAAAAAAAAAAAAAACTCAATAACAAACTCCAAACAAACCAAGTTACCAAATTAACAAAGAGTTTGACAAGAAATCGCTCAAAGGATCATCTTCCCACGCTTCAAAACTATGCTAAGCCGTATAACAGCTTTATAATGGTAAAAAATGTGACGAAGCTTTATTGATTTATTTGTTATATGTATAGGGTGATTCTAAATTGTTTTTACAAATTAAGAGGGGTGATAGTACTCATCCAGATGAGCAATAATTACCATAGAACATAGGGTCGCATTCCACAGGCAGAAAAGAGGAATATTAGAATTCCTACATGAACTTACAATAATGTTGGGAGAGCAAATGGACGAGACCAAAAGTTAGTTTAGTAAAAAATTCATAGAGAGTGCATAAAACTACTATAATAGCAATAAGATATTATTCTTCAGCAACATTTGTTAAATTCTTGTGAAAAATTTCAAAGTTAAAATTGTGCACGTTTCAATGTGAAAAATTTCAAAGTTAAAATTGTGCACGTTTCAATGTGAAAAATTTCAAAGTTAAAATTGTGCGCACGTTTCAATGTGAAAAATTTCAAAGTTAAAATTGTGCACGTTTCAATGTGAAAAATTTCAAAGTTAAAATTGTGCGCACGTTTCAATGTGAAAAATTTCAAAGTTAAAATTGTGCACGTTTCAATGTGAAAAATTTCAAAGTTGTGGGCGCTTTTCATGTGGTGCACATCAAAACATATATTTGTATCCTATCTCTGCTGCTGTATGCTTTGGGTACTAAGCTTTTTAAAAACTGTAATATAAATTCCATGTGTTATATTATAAGTGCATGTTACAGCTTCTATCTAACTATTACAAAACGGCTTCCAGACAGTTGTAATTGGGGGATGCTTTACTGAATTGCACCAATATTTTTGACAATATTATTTCGAAAAACAGTATTTCTAAACAAACATGCAAACAGAAGGCAGAAGATTTGATAAACATTTTCAAAGGATAAGCAGATCCATATTTGATGTCATCTCACCAGATCTCACAACCATAGTCATCTCATCCCTGATGTCAGAAACCTATCTTCGTCTAGAGAGCTCTAATTAAAGTTCTATTACCCTGCACACCGACGATATATTTATTTGCACGTTTAAAAGGAAATTCATTATAACAGCTAAAGCTTTAAATTTTGAATTATTCAAATTTAAATTTTGGGTGAATGTTAGTATTTCGTTTGAGGTGTGATACCGTAATTATTCATCGATTAAGAAAAAAACTTTATCTTTTTATTTCCTGGCACGTCAATAAACAGAGCATTGCATTTTATGGAGGACTGAAAGAGGAAAATCTGCAGTTGCCTTCCCCTTGCAAAAGTAAAATCTACATTTTTATATCAATGAAACCAAGAAAACCAAGAAACCAAGAATAATTTTTGACTGTTGTGCATTTGTTTTTACACGCTTTAAGAAAAAAAGTTTGTCCGTTACGGTGTGGACAACAGAAAAGTGATACCTGATTAAATTAAATTTAAAAACGTTGCCCTGTTATCTTGGTATGCGCAGCATTACTCTAGTATTGGACAAAAAATTTTAGATAAATATTTGGTGCAAATAAATTGAAGGTTCAAATAATAATGTCTGCGATCACTATGTTTCGATTGCATTAAAATCGCTAGATATTTTCCTAAAAATTTCGTAGTTGGTAATCTGTAAGCTCTAATAGAGTTCAACCCAGATTCTCGACACGAACATATGGATAGGATAAACAAATTCAAACAATTTCAATTTGAAGTGATAAACTGTTACTTAAAATACTTCTTCTTGAACTTGTATTTGATCATATTAACGACAAAGTGTGCTTTTCTCAATTTTTCTTGGATTGGAAGTGACTCGACTGTGTGCACTGTTGGAGAAGATGATGCCTTACACTTCCCTGGCACACATCACTACCCTTTATTAGCTATCAAACGTAATTCTGGGTATTAAATGGATCTGGAATGCACGATCTCCTGCCCCATTAAATGGCTAACCCTACCAGTCGGATGATAATGTGCTAATTTCTACTCGAATCAACCATTTGAATCAGCGATTTCTAGATTTCCTCCGGTTCTGATCACTAAAGATGAATTCTTAAAAGCCAGATTTATGTTTCTTATCCCTTAGCAGACTGATTACATTTTAAGGTGAGGATTAAGTTTAAATTCATGCTATATATCTAAGAAATTGAAATATAAAATAAAACTTAACGCTCTCGAACTCGAAAAGGAAACCTTTAGTTTGCAAAATGGCCCTCAGCTAATACTGTCAGGCCTTGTGTTTCTCTTGATTTGCTTTGGAAACATGAATGATCCTGAATAGGAATAGGGAGCTTACTCAAGCTATGTTCAAGAAGGTGTGAAGTAGATAACACAAGCAGGAAGGGTATACGAAACCCTTTATTTTCAATCTTTTACAGACACTTCCGAACTTCGGAATACAGAGACCAACCACTTGTGGTCTGAACGTAAGAATATAAAAACTACTAACTCTAACTAAAAGCTAACTTTGAATTAGTATACAAATGCCTAGCACTAAGACTGGCCTTTATTTAAAAAAGGTACGTATGTAGTACGCCGAGCTGCTTAAACTACAATACGTTTGCAAATATCAAGAGCGCTAAACCTCTGGCCTTAAAGGCAACCAGCAACCGAGTGAAACTCGTAAAACTACAGTGGCAAGCGGCTTGCTGCCTAAAACTCCTTCTCTCTCCCTAACTCTTAGCAAAAAGCCACAACTTAAATACTTGGGCGTTAGCAAGACAATTTGAGAAAATAAGAGGTGATAGCACAGTTTTAAAATAAAATAAACGTTAGTAAAACTTAGGATCCTTACAATAGGACCTTCTAAATTACACTTTTGGTAACACTTCACACACACACTTCTAAATTAACTATTAGATCAGAGTGGAAAACTAAGTTAAGGGTTAGATATGAGTTCTGCTTGACATCTACGGAAACAACCCCATGTGACTTTAAAGATACTAAAGCGCTCCACAATACAATTTAAATTCACTAACCATTCATTGAGTAACCAAATCTCTGTCCTCTCTGCACACTGCATGTTAACCTCATATTGTGACTATACTGCTGGGCAACGATTACATCTAAAAGCCTCTTCTGATTCAAGATCATCCCGGAGACTATAGGTTCCTACACAGTTAGTTACATTGTGGCCCGTCTATGTGTTCATTGAATGATCAACAGCCCTCAAACTCGCTCTGTACAGTATTCGTGTCACGTACTGTGGGCGTGACATGAATACTGCGCAGAGAACAGGAGTTCAATTATATGGATAAATGGAATTTAATAAATGCTCATCAAGAATATACATGTATTGTGTTATCATTTATTAATTTAAGATGATTACTAATATAAGGGCGAGTCAAATGAAAGTGAGCCAACCCCTCCTCAGCAAGAATGGTTCGGTCCATCATCTGCGGCGCACAGAGACAGCCTTCATTTACGAAAGTGGCGCGAAAGTGTGAGGTTAAAGTTCTTTAAGGCGCTCTTACACTGGGTTGAAGACGGTAGCGTGACATAATGGACGCTCCAAAAGAGGAACAACGTGGTGTGGTCAGGTTTTTGACAGCTGAAGTTGTTTCCCAACATGAAATTAGTCGCCGTATGACTGCTGTGTACGGTGAACATTGCATCGCATT